ATCTTAAGAGCAGGCCAATCAAGCGCGTAATGAGAAGGTTGAATAGCTTCATGCCAAATTGGATGCCTATGTCCCTTGACTTGGAATCCACAGAGAAGTCAGGTTGACTTCTTCAAGTGCTGAAAGTCGAGCAAAAACAAGGAGAGATAAGGGAATTTCTAGGGCACCGTTTCCGAAAATTATGGAAGAAACTTGATAGTACCCAAATTCATGAAACTTGACTTTCCTCGCTTCAATGGGCTGGAAGACTCCTTGGGTTCGATTAGCCATTGTCAACACTTTTTCCGACATCAATCGACACCCGAGGAAGAAAAGATGAGCTTAGCCTCTTATCACTTAGAGGGAATTGCTCAACTATGGTATTTACAAATGATACAGGATATTCCACATCCCACCTGGACCGTGTTTGCCCACCAATGCAATTTACGGTTTGAACCTCCCATCCGAAGCAATATATTGGGCTCGCTAAGCTAAAAACAAACGGGTTCAGTGGAAGAGTACCAAAACAAATTCGAAGTGTTGGTTTCAAGAGCTGGAATTTTAACTCAAACTCAAAAGATTCAGTTGTATATTAGCGGATTGCAAGAGTCTATATCAATTGAGGTGGAGCTCCACCAGCCACAGGACTTGATAACCGCAATGAGTATGTCTCATTTGTACGAAAAGAATATATATCCCAAGGCCACCACCAACCAAGATAACAAACACAGTTCACCAATTGTAGATACGCGCACCAACTGTTCGATAAAACGACTCACTAGAGAAGAAATGGAAGAAAGGGTTGTGTTTCAATTGCGATGAGACATTTGTGCGAGGCCATCAATGCAAGAAACTATTTTGGATTGACTTGGAAGAAGAGAACAAACCAGACGAGAAAATGGAGCAAGAACTATCACCAGAGATATCTCTCCATGGAGGTTAAAACATATTCCCCTCCACTCCAAAAGAAAATGGTATGATCAATGAACTACGAAGGAGTAAGATGAATTTTACCATCACCATTAAAGATCTTTTGGTTTTCCGAATGACAGCTTGGTTTAGAGAACGGTGTCCTAGACATCCTACTCGAGCCATCTAGAGGCAAAAATATTCCCCTAAGTTTTCCATCAATAAAGATAAAATGTACGGCAGAAGACATACAATTCCATATCCAAAACCTCTATTTGAACCAAGCCCATTTTTCAAAGCACCTTATCCAAAATGTTCCAATCTACAAGATCAAAGGTTTTTTCAATTCCCACAATTGCCTTCTATTCTCCTTGCTAAGCCACAAGTTCCTCATTGCACGCATATGAACACTTCATCTAATATCTATACCGATCTCCCAACTACAAAAGTTTTTTGAATGATATTGTCCTCTTTGGGTTTACCTTTCGAGCTTCCCCTCAAGGTTTTAAAACGTGTCTGCTAGAGAGAGGTTTTCACACCCTTATAAAGAAGTGGGATCTCACAATCCACCCCCTTTCGGGGTCCAGCATCCTCGTTGGCACTCGTTCCCCTCTCCAATTGATGTGAGGTTTTCACACCCTAATAAAGAATGCTTCGTTCCCCTCTCCAACCGACATGGGATCTCACAATCCACTTCCCTTCGGGGCCCTGCGTCCTCACTGGCACTCATTCCGCTCTCCAATCAATATGAGGTTTTCACACCCTTATAAAAAATGCTTCGTTCCCCTCTCCAACCGACGTGAGATCTCACAATCCACTCCCCTTTGGGACCCAGTGTCCTTGCTGGCACTCGTTCTGCTCTTCAATCAATGTAAGATCTCCCATTGTTGCTTTAACCACTAGATCGATCTCAAATCTTAACACTCTTCACCAATTTCTCAGCATCAAATTGACTCTACTATTAGTCCAAGGAAGCAAACACCTCATCAATGGAGGTGTATATGTCAAGTGGTCCACCCAAAAATATCTGCTCCGCTAATGAAACTAATTGGATTGCCTCACTAAAAACATCAGAAGCAAACCGCAAAAAACAATAAACATGAACAAGAACAACAGTAACTTCTGATATTAAAAAAACAAACATAATGGAAAACAATTCAGACCACGAACAGACAATGGCAGCCGATTTCTTCAAGTTCATGAGCCAAAAGGAGCTGAGAAATCCTCCATGGTTATGCAAAAATGGTCTAGTGAAAGGAATGAATAAAATGAACAATACCTCCTCAAAATCAACTCTATGTTTCCATCATCAGCAGCAGCCAGTAAAGCAATGGAGAGGTGTTCAGGTCCAACGAAATGATGGCCCATTTTCTTGGAGTACTCAACAGCTGAATCAAACGCCCGCTTGGTGCCGACAGAAAAAGGAACATGAGGCGTAACAGCCGCACTATCAACACTCATATCCGCTTCCGCATCGTTGCTATGCCAAATGCCGCGAACAGCCTCACGTGCCTCATGTAGTGTTAGACCCGAATTCAAAAAACCGCCAGGAGACTGATTATGCTCTTCCTCAGCAATCAAACCCAGAAGAAGATGTTCGGTGAAAACCAAACCCTTCGAAAGGGCCTTCGCCTCTCTCTGCGAGAAGATCACAGCCTTCACCGCTCGTTCGGTGAACCGCTCAAAAATGGCGGAAATGATCGGAATCCTCAGCCGCCTCCTCCGCCGGGTTCTACCGCTGGTGAACTCATTAGGCGAACGAAATGATGTGAGAAAAGAACGGGAAAACGAGAACACAAGATTGGAAGAGGGGAATCCATTGATTTTCCGTCCAGATAAATGAGAAATCGATAGAACACTCAACGAACAAGTGGAAGAAGAAACAGATGGCGGCGATATCAATCGATTGCAGCCATGAACATGGATCAAATTGGAAGATGGGGTCGCTGGCATTCTTGTCGAAAAAAATCTGAAACTCCCACTAGAAATCTCGATCCCAAATTCTCAGAGGAAATGGTTCATGAATCAACAGAAAGAATTGAAGAATTGCGCAGATGAAAGAGAAGAACAATCGAGGAATTGCAGACGAATTGCACGGCAAGTCAATGGGGGAATTAGCCAATCGGCCATGCTGATAAAGACCCGTTTGATGAACGCATACTATTTCAACGCCGACGGGGAGGACTCGGCCTTGAGAGTGTGCCATATTCAGACGCACTCCGTAAGAATTCAGTGCCAGTGATTTGTCTTTTACAACAACTTTTTAATATCAAAAGGACGTTCGTTTTGCCGCTCATCCTTTGCCACATGTTCGGGCAAAATCACGTCTAAATTTGAAATGCCTCAAAATATACTAAAGTTATATGTTATATAAGTCATTGTGTTGTCTTTTTTGCTTGCTAACCTATGACATTACTTTCAACCTTGCTTACAAAATCTCTCGGCTCCTGTTTTCTAGAACCTTATTCTCAAAACAGGGGCAAAGTCTTGGGTGTATGACGCTCGATGGAAGGCGACCCAAATTTAAGTTGGCTGACTCACTCCAGTGGTGAGAGTGAGTGCAACACAATCACTTGAAAATTCTTGAGAAAGTGCGATTGCGACACCTTGCATGTTTTGATGGTCATGTCTCTGACTCGATTAACCATAATGTATTCTAATCCGCTTGGCAAAAGGTTAACCATAATATATGCCACTAGGCAACCATAATATATGTCGCTCGGCAAAACGCAACCCAAATTCGTGTTGGTTGACTCACTCAGTGGTGAGAGTGAGTGTCACACAATCACCTCCAAACCTCTCGAGAAAGTGCGATTGCGACACCTCGCATGCTTTGATGGTCACGTCTCCCACTTGGTTAACCATAATGTATTCCAATCTGACATAGTTAGTTGTACGTGGCACCATATGTCCCAATGTCTCCAAATGTTAGATATTGAGTGATAGTATCATGACACTCGAGTTACTGTAGATTTGTACATGTTTATCAGAGCCGATACGCACACGATATCTTGATGAAAAGGCAATGAAAAATTGAATCTAGAAGTAATGTTTTCGTTGTTACAAATATTGTGCTCGTATGTGGATGAGATGCATACATTTTCATATGTGACCCATTGTAAACAAAATAGGGTATGTTGCGGGGCAAGAGCACGATGGACGGTATGGATCGAGCCACATATGAAAAAACTGGATAACGAGTGAAGTATGACAACGTCGAAAGTAATGTCAACCACATACTGTTTCAGATTATACAACTTTAAAAGAGATAAGGATAAATTGAAATAATACAATAATTATAATTATTAGAATTAAATAATTAATTACGAGCTTCAGTACATAAATTCTTATTCTCATATCGTGTAACTTCGATCTTCATGTCTCAAATAAAAAAAATTCAAATTGTGACGTAAAGATCTATTGAGTTTGAACCCATAATAAAAAAGAATTAAAAAATATCTTTAAATTTTTTTAAAAACTTTAAAAATACCTGAACTTTTTAAAAAATAAATAAAAAATATATTTACCGTTAGTACATATTCATAAAATTTTAAAAGTAACATTAAAAAAAATTAGATATAATTTATAAAATTTTAATTGAAGATAATTTTTTAAAAATTTAAAGAATATTAATAAAACTTTTTAAAATTTAAATGTATTTGTGAAACACGGTTAAAAGTTATAAGATTATTTTTTAAATAAAATATTAACCATTTTCGTCTAAAATTAAGATATTTTTTAAATATTTTTTGAAAGTTCAGAATATTACTTTATATTTTTTAAATATTTCCGAAAGTTTAAAGATATTTTTTTATAATTTTTTAAAAATATTTTTTAAATTGTTTTTAAAATTTAAAAATATTATTGAAACTTTAAAAAAATTATGAGTATTTTTTAAATAAAGTGGGAGATAATTTTACTAATTTAATTAATTAATTTATTATTTTTTGTCCATCCAAATATAGTTTAATTATAAAAAAAACACCAATTAAAAAAGAAAAAAATTGATATATTATCCATAATTGGTAGTTTTTAGTTTTTTTAAATTTTACCATGGGATTTAGTAAATTAACTTAAATATTATACTATAAATTAATTATTGATTATTTCATTATTTGTAGGTACGGATTGAATTTGAGGCGTCCGGTAGAAAAAATACGACGAATTTCTTGTGGAGAGAGGATGGATTTTGAAATGGCGGGGAATCGCTGTTGGTAATTTGACGAATTCACTTTTCTTGATCGGGAAAACCTAATATACTCTTCTTGGCAAATCATCATCATCGTTGTCGTCGAGTGTGGACGGATTGGAAATTGTTGTTTGAATGAGGTTAGGTTTTACTTGGATTGCTTAATCGAATACCGTTTCAGATCCGTTCGAGTTAATATCTATTGGACTGGAGTTCGGGAATTCTTTTCGAATCGGATTTGGGAGGACATGTTTTCGCAGATTCTTGCGCCATTTGGAACATAATTTTCGTTTTATCGAGTGTTGGATTGCGTCCGAGGGTTTTGGTGAATCTTTTGTTTTGAACCGAGAGATTTTTGTTGTTGATTTCTTCTGCACAACGAAGATAGGGATTCTTCGATCATTTGTAGTGGAATCAGACGATTATTCCGATACCTAATTGCCTTTGAATTGTTGCTATTGTTTTTTTTGAAATTATGCATCCCCGTCACCGTAATACGGGTAATGGGTTTAGGTCTGGTTCCATGGGAGTTGGATTAGCTTCTTCTCGAATCTCTCCTGAGGGATCGGTTAGGGGCCATGGTGGCGCGTATGGCAATGATTATCGCAATTTTAATCATCCGAGTAGCTTTGGGCGCGGTCAGGGATACCCCAAATCATATCAATCATCCCAATCACTGCCTCCTCCGCGAAGAGGTGGGGGTTCTGTTGACATTTTTATGGAAGCAGGTCGTCTTGCAGCCGAATATCTGGTTTCTCAAGGTTTGCTCCCATCTAGTGTTTTGTCTGGTAAATGGCAAGGTGGAAGTTTGAGGAGGGAGTCTTCTGAATTTCAGGAATTTGGTCCATTTCGCGAAGAAGGACGAACATCTAATGCTGCCCCTCCTCATTCAGGACATGTTGGACCTGATTTCGGGCCAGGTAGGAGGCAGCCATCTGATGAGTATAGTTTGGCACCGTCACGAAATCATTTGAGAGGACGAAGAAGATCCTCGTCTTTCCGAAGTAGTGGTTCTGATTGGAGTGGCCAAGAGTACAGTAGGAGCAATAATTACAATGATAGAGCTAGAGCTTCTTCAGATACAGAGGCTTATGACGACGCTGATAATCTTTCTGCTTATGGTAATCGACAGCAAACTGGTGAAGAAGTTGGTACTGAATTTCAAGTTCTCAAACCTTCCAAGTTAGGACGAAAAGGTGACACGCCTGAGGATTCAGGACCTGAACTGGTTAAGTACCCTTTGCCAGATGATGTAGGCTCGAAGGCAAGTATTTCTGCTGTTGCGAAAGACCTGCCAAATGAGCAGAAACTTGCTAAAGATTCTGATGATTTATGTAATGTAGATTCAGGGTTTGAGGAGGTGAAAAATAATACCAATACCAATGAAACTGAGAAACACTGTGTGGCGGAGAAACTATCAATGCAGAATAAAGCCGATGACGGTGATTCCGTGGTGAAGCCAGAGACTGATCTACTAGCATTCTGCAGATTTACTAAGTTCCCCACCAAAACTCGCTCTGCGTTGGCATACAAGGTTTCTAAGGCAGATCCTATTGCAACTGTGTCAGAACAACCTTCTGTTATCAACCCTATCAGATCTGAACTTTCAATTGACAGTAACTCGTCTACTTGTGCGTTATCTGGTGCTGTATCAGCTAAAAACCTTGATGTCGAAAATCTAAACTCTGAAAGATCTGAACCACAAGCTACTGAGGAAGCTGTTATAATGGAGGAGGCATATCCTAGATTTGGTGAGAAGGCTAGCTCTTTGACGTCTCATTCTTTCCAGCATGGACCATTTTGGAATGAGAGCAAGGAAGAATCTTGCCGAACTCCTGCCGTATTTGGAAGGAGTAATTCTATGTTCGAGGAAAAGGGTCAAAAGCGGTCATTGGATGAGAGTGATGTGGGGGACGGGAATAAAAAACCAAGAGAATGGATTCCGTTGATGAATTCTAAGGAGGAAGATGAAGCCTTTGACCTTCTCAAGTTTGATAAAGCGAAAGTTAGTTCTGAGGAAAGCAAGCCAGAGTGTGATAATGAAGTTATTGTAGCTGCTGACTGCGTGAACTCAGTGGATGGTTTTCATTTCATAAAGAACGGAGGTGAGCAATGTGTAGATTATGCACAAGAAAAGCAGCTTTTTCCGAATTCATTTAAGATCTGCGACCTTAACCTTATGGAGGCTTCTGATATACATGATAATCATGAAAACAATCCTCTTCTCATCTTCCAATCTATTTCTGAATCAAAAAGAGAAAGAGCTCCTGTTGAAATCGGCTTGTCTATAAGCAATGCTACTGAATTTGGCCAAAATAGTGTGGTGGCTGGCGGTAAAGAGATCGAAATTATTGATTTAGAAGATGACTCTAATGCTCAAGTAGACAAGACCTTCCATAATCTAGAGACAAAGTAAGTTCACTCATCTTTTATTCGAAAGCTATTTTGGTTTACGTTTCCCTAATTCCGCTGATAATTATACCCCACCTCACCTATAGCTGCATTTGGTTTGAATTCTCCCTTTCTGTGAAGTTCTTAAACTGTAAACAAACATTGTGGTGAACTGTATTGATGCCATTTTCAGGAGGGAGCCTGTATTTACTGGATTGGACGGCTTTCCTAACAACGAACAAAACAGTGGAGATATGCCTGATGTTCACGATGGCTATGGACTAATGATTTCAGAGTTGCTTGGAGCAGAATTCCCCAACTGTGCTTCCGTACAAGGAGACATTAATTCAATGCACAATGAAATGTCTCTTTCGAATGGAGAAGTACTTCCTTGCTCATATCCAACTTCATCATTTATTGAAGATTCTCCTTTTTGATACTTTGCCTGGCTTCTTAAAGATTATATTGTTGTGAGGTTCTTTACTGCGTTAAATGTTAATATTATATATATTCTAGGACTGCTCAAGTCTCAATACCTCCATAATTTACTTCCATCTCCACCCTCTTATAGGTCTTTAGTGATTTAGAACTATAAGAAATCATTGGCTATAGGTTTAATGATCTGTCATTTGCTCATGTATTTCAGGGGGCTCTGGCGGATGATGATCTAATATATATGTCCCTGGGGGAAATTCCATTGAGTATGCCAGAATTTTAATTTCTTTTGTCCATCAATATAATTATGTGATCATAAGTTTAAATCAATTTGATGGTAGGAATTGTGTATTGTGTAAAAGAAGGATATGCAATTGTTTACCACAGACTTTGTGTATGTTGGGGAAGGAAATAGGTGAATATTGTAAGACAGAATGATAGCTAATGGTCTCTTTTAGCTTCTTCTCTTTACTTTCTTCATTTGCTGGTCACTTCTGTACATCTAGATCTTTCTTATTCGGTTGCGCTCGCACACACACACATATTTTATAACTTGGAGCTTGAGAAAAGGACTTCCTTTTATCTAGTATCGACCATGCTGATCCGAGGAAGTCTTTTTTATCTAGTATCGACTGTGCTGATTCGAGGATGTCTGTTTTTATCTAGTAGTATCAACTGTGCTGATCTCGAGTCTTCCTAGGAATTATGTGATGAAAGTAGTTAGTATAGGAATGTCCAAACATGTGGTGCAGGTTGTCAGGTGTTGAAGATTTTAGGCTCTAAGATGAAGTCAAGGGCATTATCAACTGCCTGCTCGAATGCATCACTGTTGAGCAAACAAACTATGTTGCTGAACTGTTGACAAGCTTGGTCCAAGCTTCCATTGTTTTTCTGGTGAGCAATGAACTCTGGTAGGTTTTATGCATATATTAGGTAATTACTCTTTAAGTTGATACTATGTGAACAGAACATTGTTCCTTGTAACTTAGAAATCAGGATGCGTTGTCCCACATTGGTTGGGGGAGGAGAACAAAACACCCTTTATAAGGGTGTGGAAACCTTCCCCCAGCAACAGACGCGTTTTAAAGCCTTAAAGGAAGCTTGAAAAGGAAAGCTCAGAGAGGACAATATCTGTTAGCTGTGGATCTGGGTTGTTACACACGATCTCATAAATTAGCCCTCTCTAACCGTAACAACCCCTAAGTACACTGCTAGCAGATATTGTCTTCTTTGAGTTTTTTCTCTTTTGGGCTTCTTCTAAAGGTTTTAAACACGTCTGTTAGGAAGAGGTTTCTACACTCTTATAAAAAATGTTCATTCTCCTCCCCAACTGATGTAGTCTTACATTATCTTATACTTTGTGGGCACCACAATATTCATCTTCTTAACATGCGCAACACTCAAATCAATCATGCATCTCATCACAATTCCCATGAACAAATGCACAAAGACTAATAACACCAGCCCAAAAGGCATCTTGTTCATACCACAACTCTACGACCCAATTGTACATTGACACGTAACATACTTCATGAAACCGAAACAAGTATATAAAGTCAGATACAAAGGATGAATGTGGGAAGATGCTTAGTTAGGTTTAGAGCATTGAAGACCACTGGATTCTTTGACGCAGAGGGAGGCAAAGAGGCCAGATGGGTAGTTTCCATAGAGATGAATGTAAGTGAACATGATTGAGGCACAGTTATTGGTTAAATCATTGATATAATTGGCGTAGGGGCAACCAAATTCTTCCAGAGCTGAGCAGCACAGATTGGCTGGGTATTCAGGCCCTTTGCACTTGCTTGTGATGATGCTGTAGTTCATAAATTCAAACTCCACTGGGCAATACTCAGCCTCCACTGGAGGACAAGCTGCATTAACCTTTAATTATGTACCCAAAACTCCGAGAACTTTTTGAACGAGCGAGCGTTTTGTTTCATTAAATTTCATTGACATGTAAAAATCGAAAAACAATGTGATGTGATGTGATGCTGTATACAAAATTTGAGTTCCTAATTTATTAATCAAAGTATGTCGAATGTTGATATACAAACGCTAAACGTTTTTTAAGTTTCATCTTGTTAAAACAGTAAGATTTGGTAGAATTTCATATGATTTAGAGGTAAATTACTAATTTAACCTTGTCTCGTTTTATTTTTCTACTAATAAATCAAATTTTAAATTCTACTTTTTTTTTTTTTTTTTTTACTCAATTATCTTGCAAACACAAAATTTTAAATATTTTCGCTTCAAATCTTTCTAGTCGACAATTATTTGGTGAGAAGACTACAATACGGTTGACAATTTTTCTAGTCGACAATTATCTACCTCGAACTTAGATTCAATGGTTATTAGAGAATATACACATTACAACAGTCTCATTAAATAATTCATGCGTTTAATAATCTACAAAGCATATAAATTCGAAAATCTGAACACAAATTCTGAGTACCTGAAGGGGAAGTTGGAGAAGAAGCGGGCACCGTTGCAGCGGTGGCGGCGACCGCCGTGAAGAGTATTGAAGGAAGGAGAAGAAGGAAGAGGAAGAAGCATGGATTGGAGTCCATTTTCTTCATCTTCAGAGGCTTTGGTAGCCTTGTTTTGTGTTCTTGTGATTATTTTTTTAAGGTTTGACTGATCTTAACACAGCCCACCACCCTGAGCTGTCTTTTTTTTTTTTTTTTTTTTTTTTTTTTTAAAAGGCCTCTTGTGAAGTTTAAGATTTAATTCACTAACATATTCTGGATTATAGAATTAATCTTTGTTAGTTAATTTATTTTTATTAAGATATATTATTAAAATAATTTAACCAATTAAGTTTTTATTTAATTTTCATATATTATAACTAATATACATTAAATTTTTTAATTTATTTAATCATCAATATTAATAATTAATCTCAAACAAATGATTTACAAGAATAATTTAAAAAAATAACAAATAAATTTTTACAATAATAATTAATTATACATGTTATATTTTTTAAAAAATAAAATAAAATAAATTTAATTTATTATCATTTATCCTCTATTACTTCTCTCAACTTTTCTATGAACTATTTAGAATCTCCAATATTGATAAATAAAAATAAAAATAAATAAATAATATAACCGCAACAAATTAATTTCATATGAACATTCGGTTGGACAAATACGACTCTCAACAATGGTATGATATTGTCCAGTTTGAAGATAAGCTCTTATGATTTTGCTTTAAGCTTTCTCAAAAGGTTTCATAATAATGGAGAGAGTATTCCTTGGTTATAAACCCATGATCATTCCCTAAATTAGCCGATGTGGGACTTTCATCGTCAAACACATTCAAGAAAACTAAAGTTTCAAATCAAACTTAAACGAATATCACAAATTAAGAACAAATAAGAACTTCTGCAATTCAATCTCATGAACAAGAACTCATTTTCCACAGCTATAAGAGTGATGGATAGATAGATACACAAATTTATGTTATGAAACAATGACAATAAATAACTTGTAGTACACATAATTGCAGTTTTTTCAGTATGTTTAAGGTAATATAACAAATTGGAATCAAAAAATGAAAAATGGTAGGCACTTGGACCTTATCATAATAGCCATAACAGCAGTAGGAATCCAGTCGAGAGGATCAGCGAACGAGATGGCAAACGTGCTATCGAACCCCAGTTAAGATCAGCTGAAGTGGAGGGCGGGAGTGCAGGGCATTCCAGACCTTGCTTCCCACCCTTGCACTCGCTAGAGAAGAGGCCAGGAGGGTATTTCCCATACAGGTTGATGTAGCTGAACATGGTTGAAGCGCAATCATTTGTTAAATCGTTGAGATCCTTGGCATAAGGGCAAGCAAATTCTGTCAAAGCGGGACAACATTGTTCGGGAGGGTATCGAGGCCCCTTGCATTTGCTTGTGATGATGGTGTAGTTCAAGAATTCAAAGTTCACTGGACAAGCTGCATAAATTGTGCAACATCACATGATTAGATCAAATTTGTTTAGGCATAGCTTCAGAAAGCACAGATCTCTGGTAAAACAAAGATAATGTAAGCCATAATCCAACTACAAAGTTTTCGGACTTCTAGTTGGAATCTGAATAGGTTAAGCTTGGTGAGTGTTGAAGACTGTTGGGAGAGGAGTCTCACATCGGCCAATTAAGGGGTTGATCATGGGTTTATAAGTAACGTATACATCTCGATTGATATGAGGCTTTTTTTGGAGAAACCAAAAGTAAAGTCATGAGAACTTATATTCGAAGTGGACAATATCATACCATTGTGGAGAGTCGTGATTTCTAACATGGTATCAGAGTCATGCCCTGAACTTAGTCATGTTAATAGTATCCTCAAATGTCGAACAAAGAAGTTGTGAGCATGGCATGTGTAGTCAAAAGTAACTCAAGTGTCGAACAAATGATGTACTTTGTTTGAGGTCCCATAAGCTTTAGGGGAGACTGATTGTTAGGAGAGGAGTCCCACATCAGCTAACTAAGGAGTTGATCATGGGTTTATAAGTAAGGTATACATCTCCATTGGTACGAGACCTTTTAGAGAAACCAAAAGTAAAGTCACGAGAACTTATGCTCAAAGTAGACAACTCCATACCATTGTAGAGAGTCGTGATTTCTAACCGTCAGTAATATGATTATGATCACTAATAAGAAGGGGTGGGGGTTAAGCAATCTAATGATTTTCCAAACAAAAGACATGGCATGCACCAAATACTGGCCATTTCAAAACAACACCAAGATCTTGTTCTCCACCATAAAACACATAATTATGCACCAAAAACATCCCATTCGTTTCAAGTAAACAATATGATATCTAAAAGCTTATCAATTTTCATGTGTTCAATATATGGACAATAAAATGAATAACAGAAACAAAACGGCAAAAAGAGAAGAAACATGATTCAAGTGCCAGATCTCTAATCAAAAGCTAAGATAAAGCTTCTTTAGTTCTTTAATTTGCGTCTACTGAACTGAAGTTAATATCTAGCAAGTTGGTGGAAATTGAGAGGACGATCTTCATTAGGAATTGCATTTTCCACATGAACATAGAAGATGGAAAATCAGGAAAAATGCTTCTGCAGTCAGATAATAACTGCAAATATACCAAGCATTTAATTTTTCATTTTCTAAACGAAACTGATTTGAAGATTTATGAGGAAGAGAAAAAAAAGAGAAAGAAACAAATTATTCAAACCTCAAGTATGTATGAACAACATAATTTTCCCATAAATCCTAAACTATGTAACACATCACTAACACGAGACGATTAAAAGCCAAAAGCTATACAAGTAAGGCAGCAGCGAGCTATAGAAAATAGTGATCATAGAATATGGTCTCCCTTCATAAGAGGCTACAATTTTATCTTCATATATGTGTGAAATGGAAAACACAAGGAATGATAATTCCAGAATCAATTCAGAAAATTAGTTTATGAAAATGTGAATTAGCTAATTCCTGACAATTCATTGTCGTAAACACAGGGATCATATGAAAATGTTAAAGCCACAAGTTCCATCTCTTTCAACAAACTGCTCAGTTATTTGCGTATTACAAACTTATGAGAAGCCAAATTTGGACGATTTCATCTTGAGTTGGCTTTGGGAAAAACCCTAAAAGCATATACCATATGATAAACGACCCAAGTTTATTAAAACAGAATGAACATCGATTAATCTCAAGGAAGAAATACACATTTTCACGCTGCATACTTTTTCCCCCTCCCTTTTAATGTTATTGAATCACTGCGTAAATCACGGATGGATCATCCCATTACGATAATAAAATCAATAAATCCTGCTTCCCGATGAAACTAAGTTACTATGTCCGTTGAATTTCCATTTTTCACGGCGGTTGTGGCAAAAGAGAGATCCTAGAAGAGCACGAGTAGAAATCGAGAGAATCAAATGGTCAAACCAATAAAGCCACAACAAGTATCCTAAAATTCCACAACCTCGAGAGAGAAGAACACAGATCGCAAAGATCTTTAACAAACAAAACAAGCACAAACAAGACAGAGCTCTCAAAACCTAACACAATCAGGTCAACGACTAAATAAAATCACGAACTCAACAAAAAAAAAAAAAAAAAAAAAAAAAAAAAAAAAAAAAAAAAAAAAAAAAAAAAAAAAAAAAAAAAAAAAA